GGCAGCAGCAACAGCTGCGTGGAGGAGGAAGCACAAGGGAGGGAAGCTTTTCGTGAGTGGATGCAAAATGGGTTAGGGAGAAATCTAGACCATGCCTCCTTCTCATCCTAGTAGGTAAGGACCCTTAGGTAGGTGTGGTGACCACCTTTGATTGGATGGAAGTATGGGTCAAAGTACCTCATGTAAGACCCCCCCCTTTTTCCATTTTTTTTTATTATTTCCTTTACATAAAAGCACTCTAATAAATACATATATATATATAATATATATATATATATATATATATTTACATATACCAGTATATATATATATACTTAAAATATTCAAGAATAAGAGAAAACATAAGAATACCTCGTAGCGGAACGAAAGAGAATTTCGGGGTGTTACAGTATCAAATACGATTCATGAGTTAATTTGAAATTAAAGGTGATCAAGGGTCCAGATCTTTTTTTATGCTTCTCATTTTAATTTTTTTTCTCATACGATCCTTCACGTATGAACAAATATTCAAAATATGGTTACAGGTTTGATTCCAACCCCATTTTTAGCCTTGGTCATTGAGTGAACCAAAAAAATACTCCCTCAAAAACCAAAAAGTTAATTGGTCGTTCGTTTGACCTATTTTCCTATAAAATCTTGATTTATTTTCCATTATTCATCTCTCAATAACTCATATCTTTTGGTAAAAAAATTCGACTATCTAAGACAGTCCAACTTATATTTATATTCAGGATTTCAAAAATATCCTAGTTTTTCATACATTATTGACTCCTTGTAACCTATTTAGTCTTCTATCTTCAAAACAAGAACAAGATCTCAAACTAGGACTAACATGACCTTACGTTTTCGAATTTTTTTGTTTTAACCCTAAAAGTTTAAAACAGTGATGAAAAACTTTGACTTATAGTAAATGGAAACCCCAACTAATTTATATTAATTTACATAAAGTGTTACTTTGAATAGTAAAATTATGATCCCAAAAGATGTCAATCTATATATTAAAGTTTATCATAGGATGTTTTTTACTATGGAACGGATTAATGATGTTATGTAAATGATATGGTAGATAATATTAATTTAAAAATAATTATTGATTGATTTTATATGAATTATTAGTATTTCTTGAATTCAATGTTATTTATGATGATAAAAACAATGTACGAATTTAGAAGTCACCGTGATCTCGATTTAAATATACCGTTGACTTTTCCTTTATTCAATGAGACTTGTTTGGTGACTTAGGAAACATTTTTCAAAAGTTCCAATGTGATTGAATGTTTTGAAAAAGAAACCAATAATGAAAATGGGAACCACTTGATTGGTTTGAGCTTGGACTCCAAAGGTCAAAAGTGTCTGGAGATCTCAAGTTTGAATCCAAAAAGAAATAAAAATTTCTTATGGTCTTCAATTTATCCATTATCATTATCCTAATTTTTGTGGTGGTCTTCTTTTATCCATTATCAGATATTAAATTGATAAGAACAGATACTACATTTAATCTTAGCCAAAAGGTCGAGAAAGGTATGCTTTTCTCCTCCTTAAGCCTTGGTTTTTAAAGCTACTCAGTTGTCTATTTTCTTTCGCGTAGGCTATGTGGGACGCCCCTAAACTGGTTGCTTCACTTCTATCTTCTGCCTACTCTTTGATACGTTCCAACTCCAAAGGAAAAAAGCAGGCTCATACCATAATAAAACTTAAATTGAAGTCGTCAAGCTTAAATCCGCACCATAGATCATAAAGTTAGCGTTGCACCTAAAAATGGAGATGCCGTTACAAACTACATACATTGAAATTTTATCTCTTCAGTCTATAACTTTCTTCCTTTTTCTGTGTTTTTTTTATCATAATCTTGTTACCCTGCTCTCTACCTTTTTGGTGCTTTAAGAGCACTTCAGTAGCTCATGATTGTATACTAGCTAGTACTCCATGCGAAGATGCCACACTGAATCAAGTAGAGATGCACAAGCCTGGTCTGGACCTGGCCTAGTAAGCCCGATCCCAAGCCCAAGCCCAAGCCCAAGCCTGACATTAAATCCCGATAAGACCAAAATTTTCTAATGTTGGCCCCGAAAAGGACCGACATGAAAAAGCGCGGAAAGCTCAGCTTGAAAGAGTCTGATCAGGATCCTCTTTCAACCCCAAACCTGGCCTTGACCCTGAAAAGCCTGCGGCTTTTTCTGCTTACTGAAAAATGGGTTGGAAAGTCCCAGGCCCAGGTGCGAAAAGCAATGTTTAGCAAAACTGGTGGGAAGATATCAAGTCAGTAGGGTATAATCTGGCCTGTTAGATTGTTGATTGCCATTGATCAAGTATTTCACCCTTGACAATTTCTGCATTTGTGAATCTCAACAAATTGTTATTACCCAGCATTATCACTTTTTCTTATACATCACGGTCCTTAAAATAAGCAAGAATGCTATTTTTATAGATAATGAAAAGGGGAAACCAAAATGGCAAAAGTGGGTCAACACAATCTTCACATTTACGATGTTACTTCAAGTGACCATGTTAGAGGTCACCAATCTTTTGGGTGCTAAGACCTACTTAATGCAGTAGATTGTATATATGAGCAACTTGAAAACTCAAACTCTGCTTCTGAACTTCAACTGCAAATGACATTTTAAACTAAAATTGGAGGGGTGAGCCAGGCCTAGGCAATAGTGCAACACCAAGGCGACTATCAAAGACCCCAATAGCAAGCTATTATGATAAGTCTTTCCCCATAAAAAATAAGATTAATATCGAGTAAGCCGATGGCTCACATATCAGATATTAAACTGATAAGAACAGATACTACACTTGATCTTAGCCAAAAGGCCGAGAAAGGTATGCCTTTTGCCATCTTGGATCTTCGTTTCTGTAGTGGATCCCCTCTCATTATTTTCTAATCTTTAAGCAATGTGGGACTCATCTAACTGAACTTACTTCAGCTTTCATACGCACCTCTTTCAGTTCCCATGTATTTCTTAGAATTCACCAAAAAGTTTATCCACCGCCTTCTAACATACCATAAGTTTATGTTGTTTTCCGTTTTTAGCAGCTTTCTATTTATTTGAATGACACAGAGAACTGTCCAATTCTTGATACAATATTTCCATACCATTATTGTGATCACCTCCATTCTTATGCATCCATTCTTTTCTTCCGCTTCACCCATAACTTTAATTAATAATTAGCAGCAAGCCATACAGAATTAAAGGATTTTTGAGTGTGGTTATATTTCCTCTGCACTGCATTTCAAGATACATCCAAAACGATGTACATGATACCGACACCGTGCTAGGTTTCTAAGAGGTGAAATGAGAGAATTCTTATTTTGTTTGGTTTATTTCTAAGCCAGATCATGTTCATATATAGATATGGAAATTCTTATTTAGTTTGGCTTAGAACTGAAGCCAAAAACCATATGATTGAAGATTGTAAGCATAAAACCAACTCCATAGACTTCACAGGTAACCACAACACCTCAAATGAGGAGTGAGTATGGATAAAGGAGTTATGGTCACACATTTGAATCTTCATGGAGAATACATGTTTATATATGCATAGATGGTGACTTTAGAGCTCTAATCCTTATGTCGAGGATTGGGTGCTATAATTGAGACAATTGTGAATATGGACTCTTTGAAACGCTAGCAAGTAGACACTAAAGGTCCAACGAGATTCTTGAGGTGGATCTTGACTAGAGAAAGGGGTAGTCACTAAGGTTCAAGAGTCCTTGAGCAGAAACTCCATGGAATTGGACACTCAAGGTAGGTGTGGGTTTGAGGTGACGCCACGAATGGGGCGTGCACTAAAACTGTTAACCTGAGGTGTAGTCCCAATATCATCTGCCTCTTCACAAGAATTATATTAAGAATGATAATACTTGCATCAATATAAAAGTACTTAACCAATAAGCTGATGACAAACTGTTAGCTTCCATTGACATGCATCAATAGTTGTATGTTTTCTTTCGCTTAGGCTATGTGGGACACACCTAAACTGGTTGCTTCACTTCTATCTTCTGCCTACTGTTTGATACGCTCCAACTCGAAAGAAAAAAAGCAGGCTCATACCCTAATAGAACTTAAATCAAAGTCGTCAAGCTTAAATCCACACCATTGATCTTAAAGTTAGCGTTGATCATAAACTTAAACTAAAAGAGATGCCGTTACAAACTACATATCATGAAATTTTATTTCTTCGGTCTATAACTTTCTTCCTTTTTATGTGGTTTTTATCATCATCTCGTTGCCCATGATTGTATACTAGCTAGTACTCTCTCCGGAGATGCCACACTGAATCAAGTAGAGATGCACAAGCCTGGTCTGGACCTGGGCCTAGTAAGCCCAAGCCCAAGCTCGACATTAAATCCCGATAAGACCAACTTTTTCTAATGTCAGGTTAAAATTCGGCTCGAAAAGGACTGACATGAAAAAGCGCGGAAAGCTCAGCTTAAAAAGTCCGATCAAACCCTCTTTCAACCCCAAACCCGGCCCTGACCCTGAAAAGCCTGCACTTTTTTCAGCTTACTGAAAAATTGTTTGGAAAGGCCCGGGCCCAGGTGCGAAAAGCAAGAGTCTTGTGCATCTCTAGAATCAAGTAAAGCAAAGTTTAGCAAAACTGGTGGGAAGATATCAAGTCAGTAGGGTATAATCTGACCTGTTATTTGGAAATATGTCCCATAATCGGACCTGCTTTTGACATATCTCTTGTTATTTGGAAACTTCATCCTTTACAAAGACTTTAAAGTTTAGGGCAGTCCAAAATTGTTATGGATTAAATTATAAGAAACTTCTAAATCAAAAATCTCATATCTTCCTTAGGGTGCATCTCTCTCGACGGATGGGAACTCCTACTTTGACAATAGTTTGGCAATCGAAATATGGTCGAAAGAAAAAATCTCTATTTGAGGAGGAAGAGGATAGACTTTCGAACCCAGCACACCCAATGGTGTCTTTGGAGGCGGGTTCCGCATGGGGCCGGTGAAGTTGGGGGTAATCAACTATTTTCCCAAGTTAAACAGTAACTTATAGTTGTGTTTTGCAATTGCCTAAACAGACTGCTGAAACAAAATTATGGTAAATTTACAGCTGTTTTATTAACCATAATGTGATATTGACAAGCAACTGCTAAAAAGTTTTTTTATGGCATTGGAGGGGTGAGCCAGGCCTAGGCAATAGTGCAACACCAAGGCGACTCTCAAAGACCCCAATAGCAAGCTATTGTAATGGATCTTACCCCATAAAAAATAAGATTAATATCGAGTAGGCCGATGGCCTACATATCAGATATTAAACTGATAAGAACAGATACTACACTTGATCTTAGCCAAAAGGCCGAGAAAGGTATGCCTTCCCTCTAACTGGGCCTTGCAATTTATGCTCACTCCTCTCGTCTCTGCCTTTTGTCATTCAGACGATATGGGGGCATCCATTTCATACCAAAAAGGGGCATTAATAAATGTGAGGATTTGTTGGTAAAGCGGGCAGACATTCTGTGAGTCTCACACAAGGATGGCAGCTCAGCTCCACCACCATTAAAATATTCTTTCTTTTCATCATCAGATCATCCATGGATGTGTAGCAGCAAACACATTAAGAACAAAAATGGGAGATTCTTTTTCATGCCCCACAATCAATATTTATTTATAAAGAAGTTCTTTAAGTGTCCTAATTATATGCAACAAAAATTAAAGTAAAAGCTTCAAAATGAAGCTTATCGTTGCCCTTCTTATTAGAACAACAGTCTCCATTGACTAGAATTAAGGTCTCTTTGTAATATTACAAAGCTACTCAAAGATTAGCATCTGTACACAACTGAAAATGAGATCAACGATCATCGCATACCTTTTCATTCTGTTTTTACAAGACCAAGTCCTTTCATGTTCCGTGGTCGATGATAGTCCAAGGATACAACAGCAGTTTCATGGTGAGTATTCATCCATAGTCACATAAACCTTTGCATCTATGGTTACAAAAGCGATAATAATTTATATGTAGTCTACAGGGATGGATTATTTAAAAAGCAAAGAAAACGAGGCACGACATGGGAGGGGTGAATATATTCTGAAAGAAGGACAAAAAGGCCATCACGGCCCAACCGGTGGTGGTGCAAATATGAATCGTGATCGCCATGCTCCACGAAACAAAGCACCATCAAAGCTTAAAAGGTCCTTCACCATCAGTTTTGGACTCTGTTCTTTCCTTCTCGCCTTCTACGAGTTCTAAGTTCAGATTGTTTCTCATGAAAATTTTCTGTAACTTTGAACACGACAATCAAATAAATAGAATCTGCTTCTTCTCGAGAATAATTTTGTAACACCCCAAAACCCAAATAACTTTGTAACACCCCAAATAACTTTGTAACACCCCAAAACCCAAAGCAACAGGATGGCCCCATAACTTCTAACTATGGTAGAAGTTATTAGTAGACTACATTCTATCCATGTGCGATGAGTTCTAACATAAAGTGTTAGCAATCTCTTATATCGTCATACTTTATAGTGCCTATAAATAAAGGGAATTTGTTGGAACAAAAAAA